TTCAATTCCTAGTACCTACATGGTGGCTTACAACCATCTATAATGAGATCTGGTGCCCTCTTCTGACCTGCAGTCATACATGCAGGCAGAACACTATACCTAATAAATAAATCTTTAAAAAAATAAATAAAAATAAAAGAGAAAGAAGAGATAGCTAGTTTCCCTTCCGTACTAAAAATCCTGATTCTTTTTTTTTTTTTTTTTTTTTTTGGTTTTTCGAGACAGGGTTTCTCTGTGTAGCTTTGCGCCTTTCCTGGAACTCACTTGGTAGCCCAGGCTGGCCTCGAACTCACAGCGATCCGCCTGGCTCTGCCTCCCGAGTGCTGGGATTAAAGGCGTGCGCCACCACCGCCCGGCAAAAATCCTGATTCTTTACTGATAAATGCACTGTGCTACTATGTTACTTCTTATACCTACCAGGCAGAATGAGTATTTTAATCTTATCAAATTTTTATTTATGTTATGCCTGCTTGTTGGGAGAGGGTGTGTGCACATGGGAGTCAGTTTTTTCCTTCCGACTTGTGAGTCCCAGGAATCGAACTCAAGACTTTAAGCTTTGAAGCAAACATCTTTATCTGGGGAGCCATCTCACCAGCCAGCCCTAGCACAAGCATTCACAGGCTTTTTTGTTTGTTTGTTTGTTTTGTGTAGCTTTGGAGCCTGTCCTGGAACTCACTTTGCAGACCAGGCTGGCCTTGAACTCATAGAGATCCACCTGCCTCTGCTTTCCAAGTGCTGGGATTAAAGGCATGTACCACCACTGCCTGGCAACATTTATTCTTATATTTTTCATTTGATTTCCATTTTCTTTTCTTTTCTTTTTTTCCAAGAGGACTGCAGGTCATTGCTGAACAGTCCCGAGTTTATTTCACAGCCAGCTTATATACAGTCTTGAAGGACAGAGGTAGAACAATGCACAGCACAGGCATTCAACCACTATCTATCCTGCTTTGCATCAAGGAGCAAGCAGTTTCATTGTCTATCTTGATGTACCTCTGGCTGGCGTCAGCAGCCTGCATCTAGCTAGATAATGTGTTCCTTCCTGTAGGCTATTGATTTCCATTTTCTAGCATTCTGATTGCTAGATATTCAGAGAAATGTGTGTTTTAGGACTAGGAGGGGACATAAGAAGGTTAGAGTAGTTTTTTTTGGGGGGGTCAGTTTTGATCTTTTTAGTAGATATTAGCTATGTCAATTAATATTTTCTACTATACAAAAGTAGTAGGTTTGGGGTTTGGTTGCATGTGTGTTTTGTTTTTGAGACAGATTCTTACTATATAGTTCTGGCTGGCCTGGAACTCAGTGTGTAGCCCAGGTTGGCCTTGACTTTACAGCGATCTGCCTGCTTCTGCCTCCTATGTGATAAAAGGCATATACTACCAAGCCCGACTGGGTTTTGTCTTTTGGACACATGCTGGCCCTGAACTCATGATCCTGCTGCTCTACCTCCCAATGGATGGAATCATGGACATGCACCACTACACCTAACCAAGGGAGGTAGTTTCAAATGAGGTCTTCTTACTTTAAGAGTAATGGTGAGTGTGTAGGTTGGATATGGTGGTGATCTCCACCAGCCAGAGGCTGTTTGAGGCCAGCCTGGTCTACATAGAGAGATCCCTTCTCAACAAAACAAACGAGTAATATGGATGTGTTTATAGAACAACTTGGCAATGCTCAAATTAAGTAAACATATAATAGTACCCAGCCAGTTTCAGTCCTAAATATGCACCACAGCTTCTTACACGTGTGATTGTCACATTGATTCATCTCCAGACACATAGCCAGCTCTTTTCCTGGTTTTAGACCTAAAACTGTAGCCAAAACTGCAGGAGACCAGGAAGGGACAAACCCAGATTACCCTGCCTCCTCCAGTCTCCTTCAGGATCTCTATAAAGTTCATCGCTATCCCTAGCCTTGTCCGATATATCAGTGGGCTTGGCAAAGGCTTGTTGGAGAGTGGGGCTAATATAAAAAGAAAAACCGATGGCGGGAGAAGTGGCACACGCCTTTCATCCCAACACTCTGTTGGACGCTATTGTGGTTTACATAGTTATAGGTGAGACCTTGTATCAAAACAAAACGCCTCAGAGCGCAAGAATCTTGAGATCAGTTAACTGGGTGAACAAAATATGGAGCTGTCCCTCCGATGTCAAGATAGAGGAAAACTTGCATCAGCAAGGCGCACTGGCTTCCAGGTCAGGGGCAGGCTTCTGTCCACAGCGAGATCCGCCCTTCAACAAGAGGAAACTGAGGCATTCACTGTTTCATGGGGCGATCACACGGCTCTACAGTAGGGCTCAACGCGAGAGAAGAAACCATGTGCAGAAGGCCACGCCCTTTCTCTTTAACACCGCTCCCTCCCGACTCCGCCCAACACTGCGGCTTCCGGCTGGGAAAGAGCGTTCGGGTGCCGCCCCGCGCCTGCGCAGCGAGACCAGGTCAGCGCGCAGGCGCAGTGCGTCGTTCACCGGCTGCTTGCTGCGGTCCACTCCTCACTTCCATTTAGTGTTAACTCGGGGAGCAGAAGGATGGTGCTGGACCTGGATTTGTTTCGGGTGGATAAAGGAGGGGACCCAGCCCTCATTCGAGAGACGCAGGAGAAGCGCTTCAAGGACCCGGGGCTGGTGGACCAGCTGGTGAAGGCAGACAGCGAGTGGCGACGATGTAAGTGCCTGGATGCTCGCGGGTTCTCCTGAATCCCAAACTCAGTCATCGCTTCCGAGGCCACAGCTTACACCTTTTGTCAGATGCTCTCCGAACTGGCTGGCTCCAGCGCAGCCTGTCGTCCCTAGCTAGCACAGGCTGGGAACCCGGCTCGTCCCACTCGCCCCGCAGCTCCGGCGGCCCCAGAGCCCTCCCGCGCGTGCTCTGTCCTGACTGCCCCCAGCGCCGCTGGAAGGAGCAGCGCGCACGCGCAGGGAGAGCTGTCAGGCCCTTGGGTAACTGGAAACTAGCCAGAGCGGGGATTTGGGTTGAGGGCGGGTGTAAACTTCTCTTCCTCACGTTTTGGTCGTTCTCAGTGCTTTCTCATCCTCAGCAAAGCCCGCGTGGACTTCCCGGCTTTGATGGGATCAAAGGCTGCTATCTCAGACTGAGTGATCCCATTCGAACCATTCGGGGGCTTTAGAGGCTGCTCTAGGCTAAAAGCAGTGATCCCAAAGCTTTGAGGATGGCCAACATTCCTCTAACCCTGTGGGCATACCTTTAAGAATTAGGCTTTTCCGTGCTAGATCAGATAAGAGGGAGGGGTGCTGTAAGGCAAGAAAAGGCTTGTAATTACTGAGGATGGTTGTGCTTTGTGGTAGCTTTCTGGAAAAGACGTTGGCAGAGTAGAAGTGACCCGGCATCATTCATAAAATTAAATAAAGCCCCGGAATCCTCTGCCTCCGAGTGTGCCTCCGGAACGATCAGCTGGCAGACCGGATGTTGTGAGTGGCATGTGACTCGTTTTGTCTGATGCAATAGGTCTGCAACCAGCTGAGAGCCAGGTTTATAACAGAACACTGCAAAGGCGGTCTCGATCCAAGAGTGTCATGCTTGTTTTTATAGTTTTCGAAACAGATTTCTCTATGTAGCCCTGGCTGGCCTGGAACTTGCTCTGTAGACCAGGCTGGCCTCGAACTCGGAGATCCGCCTGAAAGATGTGTGTCACCATGTCCGACTGAGTATTATGGTTTAATCTTTTGGAGACATTGATTTTACTGTTAAAAATGTCCTTGAGTATCAAAAAGTATATGCTTCCCTTACAGTTGTGTACTCATTCAGTATGTTTCAGGTACTCTCACTGGGATAGTTTGTAAGAGTCTGCGCTCCAACTTAAAGTTTTGAATTGCTCCAAACTGAAAATGTCTCTGTTTGTTTGTTTGTTTAGGATAAAAATATTTTAAGCCGCCTGGCGGTGGGGGTGCACAACTTTAACCCCAGCATTTGGGAGGCAGAGGCAGGCGGATCTCTGTGAGTTTGAGGCCACCGGCCAGGTCTACAGAATGAGTTCCAGGATAGCCAAGGCTACACAGAGAAACCCTGCCTTGAAAAAAAAAACAAAATAAATAAATAAATGAATAAATGAATAAAATAATAAAAATAAAGAACCACACCCAATTGTCAATTTTAGAACCAGCAGTAGTACTTCATTCTATAAAACAAGTGTTTCAATGAACTGAGCAGAAGAGGTTGGCTTAGTAGAGCCTGGTTGAAGAAAGTAGAAACAAAAAGCAAAAAGCAGATCAGTCATTTCAAACTTAACAGAAACAGGAAATGATTTCAGTGGGTGATACGGAACTTTAACATGGGTAGCCTCCATTTTGATTTTTAGTATGGTTTGTTGGAGCTATGAAACAGTGGCCTCCCGTAATTTTTAGGAGCATGCACATACGTATACACATACGCAAAAATACACAATGTCCCAGTATTCAGCAGTGAGCCTCATCCTTAGTAAGGGTGTGATAAAGGTTTGTCCCATGCATGAAGATCTTCTGTGCCCAGGGTACTTTAAATTCTCTATGGAAGGTTATTGTGTTTTGTTGTTTTAGTTTATTTTTTTAGACGAGGTTTCCACACAGTGTATCTCAGTGTGACCTCAAATTGACAGTTTCATCAGTATTATTGCTGGACTAAGTATTAAAGCCAGGCCTTCAACGGGCTGGGCCCGTGCTCTGCCGCTGAACGTGATAGGTGGAGTGGGACAGCTGTCATTTTGTAAGGGATCAGTCACTGGGGAGGAGCTGCTTCTCAGCGACCATCTCTCCAGATTCATCTGCATTAAACTTGGTGACGCCTCACTTCTTTGAGATGTGGATCTTCTGGCAACCGGGGAACTTGGACTTGACCCTGTGCAGGGTTTCCATCGTACGTGCCTTATTCTGCGAGATGGTGCAGATGTACACGATGACCTGGCCAATGTGAACTCTGGCCGCTGTCCCCCGAGGCTTAACAATACACTCTGCAGACCTACCTGGAATCTAGACGGAGACATCATGAGATCAGAGACATGACTAGCCACCAGAGAACTCGGTTTCTCTAGAGCAATCCAACAAGCAACAGACTGCACACACTCCCAAGGAGGATGCTGTTTGCAGCCATTGCAGACCAGGTCCCTGTGAAAGAAATCTGGTTGGCTTAATCGGCTGCAGATCTTTAAAAATACTTATTTATATATATGTATGTGCCTAAGTGTATGTATGTGTATACTACATGCATGCAAGAGCTTGGGGTGGGGGGTGTCAGGTCTCCTTAGAACTGGAGTTATAGGTGGTTGTGACTGCCTTGTGGGTGCTGGGACCCAAACCTGGGTCATGAAAGAGAAATGAGCACTCTTAAATGTTGAGCCATCTCTCCAGCCCTATAGACACTTTTTAATTTTAACAAGGTCTTTCCAAGGAACCCAAGTAGCCTTGAACTCACTCTGTAGCCCAGGCAGGCCTTAAACTTGTGCTCTTAGGTCTCTGCTTCCCAAGTAGCCAGGATCACAGGAGTCCCTGGCTGCCCATGTAGGACACTGAGAGATTAGAGGATGGAGTTTCTTCCATCATTAGTGACAACAGGAACTTATAAGCACTATCAATGAAGAGCTCAGACCGTGCTTCCTGACGGGTCATGAGCTTCCATGCAAGCTGTGTATTAACAGCTATCCCCATTTGTTGTTTCCAGGGAGAACACATCAGTCTGTAATGACCACAGCTGTAACTCCTCATGCTGAGCAGCAGTTTCTTAATTCACAGTACTGAGACAAGGCCATATTTGGGACATTTGTCTCAGCTGGCCCCAGACTGATTGATTTCGATCTGAAATATGCAGCCAACCACAAGAATTCTGTCTTCTAGAATGTACTGTCCATCCCCGTTGGAGAAAGATTTCTTTTTTTTTTTTTTGGTTTTTCGAGACAGGGTTTCTCTGTGTAGCTTTGCGCCTGTCCTGGAACTCACTTGGTAGCCCAGGCTGGCCTCGAACTCACAGAGATCCGCCTGGCTCTGCCTCCCGAGTGCTGGGATTAAAGGCGTGCGCCACCACCGCCCGGCGAAAGATTTCTTTTTATTATCGGTTGAAGGCAGGCCCTGGCCCTGGTCTGTGTTTTCTCCACCATTAGAAGAGCTTTGAGACAGCTTTCCTTGTTCTTCTAGTCCTACTTCAGGCAGGCAGGGTTCTGCACTGCAGACCTCACCCTTGGGTTTGCAGGCCTGAGTCTTGCGCTCTTGCTTCTCAGAGATCCTGAAGGGCTGGAATGTGAGTCATGGCTGCAACACGGACTCCACAAAACTTAAGGGGCTGGAGGTAGTGAGTCCCAGGTCGCGCCTAGGTCTCTCACTTCAAGCTTGTACACGGCAGTATGGAGCTGCCTGGAGCTTGTCTGGACAGTCAGAAACATGCCATCTTTACCAACATGCTGGGCATGGCACTTTGGTCATTCTCTGTCACTATGAGGCAGTCAACCCCAGAAGAAGAATGAAAATGATATTTTCTTCACCCCAGGGTTCCAGGATATAAGAAGTAAGATGGAAGGTGTGAAGGGCCACTTCACCCCTCTTATATCCCAGTGTACAGAGCAAATTTCACTTAGATTTTTCTAAACAACTTGGTTTCCTCAAAGTCTTTCTTAAGCCTACTAAATAAGAAAATTGTGTTTTTAGTGTATTTATCCATATTAAAATCCACATTAATTTAAACAAGTCTTCCAAATCTAATGTGTGTTTTACCCAGTCTCATTTCTAGCTTACCACCTTTCCGATGCTCAGTGGTCACACAGAGCGAGGCTCTACACAGTGAACCCTGCAGCCTTAAAGCATTAACCCCCAAGTCTTCCCCGCAGATGACCCCGCTCTGCCGGTCACTGCTCACACCTTCTACTTCTGTGGCTTATTCCGTGTCTGCTACCCACCCTGATTCCACGACAGTGCCTCATTTGTTGAATGTTCTCTGCACTCTTGCTCTCCTTGTCCCCTTTCTCTCTGAGATATGTATGTAGCCCTGGCTGGTCTAGAACAGGCTATGTACGTGGCCAGGCTGGCTTCAAACTCACAGAGATCTAGCAGCCTGCCTCTATCTCCAGAGTACTGGGATTAGAAGTATATATGTGTGTATGCAGTGTGTATGTGTGTGCAGGTGCACATATGTTCACATGCATGTGAACATCAATGGGTGTCTCATTCACCTTCCACTTTTTTTGTTGTTGTTGTTATTTTGTTTTTTGTTTTTGTTTTGTTTTGTGTGTTTTGGTTTTTTTTTTTTTGAGACAGGGTTTCTCTGTGTAGCTTTGGAACCTGTCCTGGAATTCGCTTTGTAGACCAGGCTGGCCTCGAACTCACAGAGATCCGCCTACCTCTGCCTCCCAAGTGCTGGGATTAAAGTTGTGCGCCACCACCGCCCGGCACCACTTATTTGGGTTTGTGTTTTGGGTGTTTGTTTTGAGACAGGTTCTCGATGGTACTGGCTGTCCTGGAACTCACCTGTAGACCAGGCTGGCCTTAAACTCACAGAGATCTCCTGCCTCTGCCTCCCCAAGTGCTGGGGTTAAAGGTGTGTACCCCACCACACCAGGTTTTCTCCGCTTATTTTTGAGACAAGGTCATTCACTGAAACTGGAGCTCACCAATTGGGCTCTGCTGGCTGGCCCACAAGCCTCAGGGACACTTTGACAACAGAGCTCCAGTTTGTCCACTCTTGTGTAGACATTAGCATTCATTTCTGCTGAGTGTGTTTCCAAGAGTGGAAACGGGATCAGTGATGGCACATTTACTAGATACTGTCAAACAGCTTTCCAAAGTAATTGTAAGGATTGGTGTTCTGTGAGCAGTATCAAGGCTGGCCTTGAACTCCAGCCACAGCCTCCCATGGTACTACCACTCCCAGACCTGTCTCCATTTTGACTATAACTAGAGCTGGGCATTGTGTTAGTCGGTTTCCATTACCACGCCTGGCCATTATCATTACTTCATGGTGGAGGTTCCAGACCATATTCTATGATGCAAGAAACAAAGATTGGGACAGAAAGCAAACTCATGATTTGCATATGACTTGATTGTAACATGCAGAATTGGAATTACTCATTAACTTTAGCAAGGCTACTGGATCTAATAAACAGAATCAGTGCTATTTGTTCGTATAAATAGGGGTTGGGAAAGTATCACATGGTTCCTTTAAAGGAACTTTAAGATTAATTGGGCAGGCTTCAGAGAAGTGTCTCCCAGGTGGCTCGGTTGTACTGCTCTGTGGTGATGTATAGATCATGATACCTTTTTTTTTTTTTTTAATAAGGTTTAGTTGTATTTTTAATTTTGTGTATATGTGCACATGCTCATGCATCTGTGGGATGGTTTGTGAATACGAGTGCAGGTGCCTATGGAGGCCAGAGGCATTGGCTCCCCCTGGACCTGAGTTACAGGCAGTTGTGAGCTCTGTTGTGGGTGCTGGGAACTGAACTTGGGTGCTCTTTCTCTCCGAGCCATCTCTGCAGCCCCAGATTCTGATACTTACGTTTCACCCTCAGACTGGCCTGTCCTTATCACCCAGTCCTGGGGATACCTAGTCCGCCTCTGTCAGCTGACTTTGGAGGTCGAAAGCAGAGTCAGCACAGGGTTAATCAGCTCTTTGTTACTAACGGTTATCGAGATGACTCAGAGATAGAAGAGCCGGGCACGGTGGCGCACGCCTTTGATCCCGGCACTCAGGAGGCAGAGGCAGGCAGCTCTGAGTTCGAGGCCAACCTGGTCTACAGAGCGAGTTCCGGTCAGTAAGGACTATGTAGAGAGACCCTGTCTCAGAAAAAAAAAAAAGATGGAAGATGTCAGATATGGTGGTACCTGCTTGTGATCCCAGCACTTAAGAAGCAGAGGCAGGAGGATTGTCAGCAAGTTCTAGGCCAGCCAAAGCTTGTAACAAGACCCTGTCTTAAAAAAAAAAAAAAAAGCCATTCACCTTGTAGCAGTTACGAAGTACAGAGAGGCAAGATATGTCCATCCCCTGCCCTTGGTGCATGATGCTAAATCTACCACCTTCCAGTTCTGCCAGACTGAAGACTCAGCCTTTATTTAATACGTAGCACAGCCCGTTTGGGGGAGGGGGCGTGGTGGCCAGGGAGTATCTTAATGACCAGCCTCTCTGACGTATTTTCGGCTTCTTCGATTTTAGGCAGATTTCGAGCCGACAACTTGAACAAGCTGAAGAACTTATGCAGCAAGACTATTGGTGAGAAAATGAAGGTGAGAGAACTGACAGGCTTGAGAGCTTGAGGAGAGCTCTTCGGTCCTTCCTTACTGTTATGTGTCTGGGTGAATGCCCCGTGTATGTCGGTGTCCGTGGAGACCCGAAGAGGGTGTCATATTGTTCACACATACACATGTGCATGAACCAGAACCAGTGACGCGTGCAGCACACAGTCCGACTTGGAATGCTGGCACATTATACCTCCTGATAGCTTGCATCCTCACACAGTATTTTGTTATACTTTCAGCTGTGAAAGTGGATATCATTAAGTTTTATTCCTGTGGGACTTGTGATGATTAATCACCTACAGGTCACAGATCCCAGAGTCATTAGTACTTTATGTCCGTGTGTACTCCTACCTAAGTATCCTTCAGATCCTCTACACAGCCGGGGCTAGCCAAGCCGAGCATTTCACTGTGTATAAGGACCACAAATGATGATCTGCAGACAGACAAGTCCTGAGCACAGAAATCGGGGCTGGGGAGCCCCTGCGTTTTGTCACTCTGCCTTGATTGTTCCTCTCCTTCCCTCGGATCCATTTGTAACCCTTAGCCTGTTGCCCGGTTGTTCCTAGAGTATGAACAAGATCCGTCCTCGGGGCCTGCCTTTGACGACCACATTGATTTTCGTTTTTCTTTTGAGGCATGGTCTTGCTATATAGCCCCGGCTGGCCTGAAGACCAAGCTGGTCTTGATCTCACAGCAGTCCTCCTGCCTCTGTCTCCCGGCATTTCAAACATGTTCTTGGTTTCTTGACTGTTCTGTATGTGGGCAGAGCTGTTCTCACTTCCGTGATGTTAACTCCCTCACCTGCCAGATGTGTTGACCTGTCCAGGGTAAGAAAGGAGGCAGTGATAGAAAAGAACTTGGAGCTGACTTCTGGCTTTCTTCCGGCTAGCGTGTTTCCCTGCATGTTCCAGCTTACTTAATGCAGT